CATCTTCGAAAAAGTTTTCAATCTCCTGTTTAATTTGTTTTTCATTATTTTCTTTACTTTTTTGTTATTTTACCGTAAATGAAGTTATAGTATTCAAAATTTTGTGTTTTTTGAAGTCTTCTTTGACAAATAAATCGCTAAATTTGCGTTTATCATTTTTTGGCATCGTTTTGTATCCAGGTTTTATTTTTCTAGTAACGATTTCACCAAAAATAAGTCTTTTCTTTACCTCTTCTTTTTAACTTTCTTCTATATTCTCAACTAAACCTGGTACTTTCTGTTCTGTCGATGGATTATTTACTTGCGATTTTCTTTGGTCTTTGATGAGTCTATGTAAAGTTCTCTGCATTGCTGCCTTCTTTTTTTGTGTTTCTTCTAAGTCTCTTTTCGGTTCTAACATTCTTTTACGATATACGTTGTTTTGAATGCAATCAGTACAAACATTTGAATTTGTTATTTTATTATTGAAGTGAGATTGCTCGCTTCAAAGATGTGCGCCGATGGTCCTAAAGGATCTACAACTGCTGCGGGTACTGGATCTAGATCACTGCCAGGGGGAGAATTGTCAATCAATTGCGCTATTGTTCTTTCTTTTTTCTTTTATTCCAAATAGCGTTTGCAACTCTCTCTCCAATTTCTTCTATTTTGACGCTGTTCCTTTGGAGTTAAATCTCTAATAGTTTTAAGTATATTTTGCTCTCTTCACTGTAAATATCTTAATCTTTCTTTTTCAATTGAATATTTTTCTGGATCTTCTTTTATGTCTGCGTATTTTAGCCTCTTATAAAGTCGAGCCTGAGCCAATTTTTCCTCACGGGTTTTCTTGGTCTTGACTTGTCATATTTTTACCTTAAAGGAGAAAAAAATCGTCAGGCATTAAGCAATAATATTACGTTAAAACCCTGGAAGAAACTTAAGAAAATAGTATAGCGAACGACATTTCAAAACGAAAGCGAGAAAATATATTAAATATATTATAAATGTTCTTCATTGTTCAATTTATGGTGGACTAGCTTTTACCCGCAGCTCCGTTCCTATGACATAGAGTACATGACTACGATAAAAGTACTCTTAGCCATATTTTGGACTCAAAACTATCCCTACTTAAAAAACCATGTTAATAAACAAAATATTAGTAGCAATGGTGATTAAAATTTTGAGCTACTGCAGTGTTTTGTTGGATTCTACATATTAATCAACCTAACTTTATCTAACTTGCGTATTTTAATAAAAACAAGAAAAATAAAAAATAAATCAAGTCTGGATCATCACCATTACTTTTGCGTCATTACCTTTACACTTTAAAACTGATGGTAATTGATGGTAGTGACTAAGAGGGTAGTGACGTTTTGTGTCATTTTTATTTTTAATTCCGTTATTAGAAATGTAAAAAAATATATAAATTTACTCGTAAAAATTGAACTAAGGACGAACATTGTAGACGTATTAAATAAACATAAATAAATTTACTCACCCGAAATATTTTGGTTACGGTAAAGACCACCAAAATGTGACAAACGTGATTTCTTACAACACTAACGTAAATATATTTTTTCACTCAAACGCACGGGTTTCTCCGTCGGGTTCTCTTGGTCGTCTGAGCTGTGCGGAAGCGAACGGGATAAGCGAGAAGATGGTAGGATTTACACGTAAAAACATATTTGAATTTCCTCCCCGGCTTACGGAAATGACATTTTTTTCGTGACAAAGATAATTATATTGTTTTAAAAATAACTTAACGTTTTGTATATTTATATAGGATAAAAATGTCAACTTTACAATTGGCTTAACGCAGTAAATAAATTATAGGTATATGAAACTGTTATTTCATTGAAATTTAAAATTGTTTTCTTTTGTAGTCACGTTGAGGACACTGAAGGCGGTGACATTTTGGCATTAAAATATTTTTTTTCTTTTTATGGGCTTACTTTTTTACTGTCGTAATTTAGTGTACTAGCTAGATAAGTGTAATTAGGTTGCATTACAGTTATTAAATTGCTCGAAATGTAGATATTTATTTTTTTGTACTATAAAACATGCGATTGGCGTGAAATCAGAGAAATACCCATACATCGTAATGTAATCATTCAGGATATATCAAATATCAAAGGCTTGCAAATTGCAGTACATATTATATATTTCTAAGCTTCCATAGACCATAGCGGTTTGTGCAAACTGTTTGTGGCAAACTGCAAGTGTCAGGCAATTCGTCTGCATAATAATTTTCAACTATTTGCTCCGTTTTTACTGTGCAGTTTAATTTTAGTCTAAACTGTGCAGATATAATTTAGCCGTTAGCGTATATTAATTTATTGTACTTTAAATATAATGTTTGCGATTACTTCTAGACTCGCTTATGAATTTGAATATTCATATAATATAATAACCTTGCTAATCTAAATATATATTTAAAGGAAGATTGTTTAAGAATTATTTTGATTAAAGTAATAAAGGCGTTTGAAAGGGTAATACTAAAGTAACAGGTACTTAAATATAAAGTGATTTTTATTGTCATTAATAACTAAATAAAAAAACGTACTAAAAATATTACTAAAAGAAAGGATGTACCTATTTAATCATAATGTCTTAACTTAATACTTTGATATGCCATAGAGATCTTGATATAGAAGTGAAGTTTTGTAATATAGGTATTAGGTATACTGGCCAATTGGTACTTGTAAAAACCTAGAGATGCATACAAATAGATTTAAAATGACTCTATTATCCTGAAATTAGCCGTAGGTTTAACTTATACAACATTATCCTACATTTAGGTAAGTCATTATTCAATTAGTGAACCAACTAGCATTAACTGAATAACTTTTTGAAACCAATTATAATTAATTAATATCTGATCGATAACTAATTAATAAATATCTGGATAAAAAAATACAGGTCCATATCCAACTCTTTTTTTGATGCCTATTAAAAATTAGCTTATAACTGCGGCTCATAAAATATTTGTGCGAAAAAGTACATCTATCCGGACATAAGGATAAGCCAACAAAGAAACACTTTCGCATGTAGGTACATATAATAAAATGTACAAAGACAGTACATTGACCCGTGAAAAATGGTTGATTACACATGGTTTAAAAATAAAAACAGTATATTTTTTGTCATTAATTAATTATGGCTATTGTGGCTTTATTATGATGTAACATAAAGTAGATAAATTGTGTTAAGGATTTTGAACATTTTAAATTCAAATATTTCTATTGTCTCATTATCGCTTTTTGCTATTATGGTGTTTTAAAATTCCAAGTTTGTCATTTAATGAAAATATAGATTTTGTTATGAATAAAGATTTAAAAATGTTGTTGCAATAATCACTTTTAATTAAAATGACATATTTTAACTTAATAACGTGAAAGTGATTATTTTTGACATGAAAAAAATGAAAATCAAATTATAATTGGTCAAGATACCACTTATCTTACAAACAAATATATAAACAGATGAAATGAGTAACTCTTTCTTTTTTAAACCGGTTTAAATAAGGAAATATTACTTTTAGTTAGGGTAAATAGTATCAAAATAAGTAAAACAAGAAACACTAAAAATATATGTACATCGTCCATCTATACATCTTTATATATATATATAATTCTTCTGTGAGTGTGTATGTCACTGAACTTCTCTCAAACGACTGGACCGATTTTGATGAAATTTTTTGTGTGTATTCAAGGGGATCTGGGAATGGTTTAGATTCAAAATTTGAATAATAATTTTCATCAAAAAATTTATTAAAAAAAGTTTGAAATTTTCAAATTAAAGACGTGTAGACAGGACAACGTCTGTCGGGTCCGCTAGTACATACATATAATAAAATTCTAACTAACCGAATCTGTACATTAAATATTTTTTGGAAAATCTTATTGAAATAAACATTATTATGGATGCAGAGGCCGAATCTTTAGTTATTAGAATTTTTGCCTGTATGTCTGTCTGTTACCGCAACACAGAAAAATCACTGGAGAGATTTTGATGAAATTTGGTATGGCGATAGCGGGTTAACCGGGTCAACATATAGGATACTTCTAACTGCGGGAAAATGTCTCATTTCTGGGAAAAAATACAAAAACTGTAATGTAAGAGTATACTAATATGTAAAACCTAAGAATTTGCTTTTTGATCATCTGACCGCGGGCGGAGCCGCGGGCAATGCTGGTAGATCATAAAGACACACTATTACAGCTGTAAAATTTGATTCTTAGGATCTAAGCAATGTAGGCTATTTTAAAAAGTAAGTGAGGTTGTGGCCAGCGCAGGATTTACACTTGGGGCTAGTGCCCAGGGCGGCAAATTTTTAGGCGGCAAAATTCGGAGAGGGAGAAAAAAAATTCTTCGCGTTATCGAAAACGCTTTATTTATTTTCTTAAAAATGATTACATAATTACAAAAGATTAACTAGTTCGTTTTTCGAAAAATTGAAATCATTTATAATTTTTTTTTTGCATTTTTCAGAAAAATATTTTAATAAAAAAAACTTCATCAAAGCTTTGTCCATTTAATACAAAATCCCCATAATAGGACGGCATTTTTTACTATGCTCAGGAGGTTGAATTCGGGCCTGACCGTGGGCGTAAACTAGTTATAAATAATAAGTTGTAAAATAAATAATTCTCCGGTAATATAAATGTAATATCAAAAATAATCAATTTTACTTTATTAAGTTACAGTAAAATTTATATAAGCTTATTTTTTTAACTTAAAAATAATGAAAGTACGAGTACATACTATGTACTATTTTTTTATTTTTATACATTTACAGTATTATAAATCTATGAATAGTGTAAACAAAAAACAAGCATCATGTACATATATCCCGTTTTTAAATATCAATTGTTCTATAATACTGAATTGTGATATTCCAAGATTATCATATAGCATGCTTATATTATAAAACGAATAAGAATAAATACATATTTAATATTTATAATACCTAATGAGTTATTATTTAATTATGGATTAGATAACATAAAAACATTAAATATTACCTCGAAACGTCTTTAAGAACAGCTCCCAAACAAAATTAGTGAACGGGACCGATAAAAAATCGAGGGTCAATACGTATACACGATGTTTGTAAACAAAGTAAGCCAGACAGGCGCGCGCGCAGCTTGCCGGTCGGAGTGAAACTCGTACGTACGTCCAACCACGCCTTCGCGTCGCACTGGCACAACTGCTTTTAAGTTTTACTTCTATGTATATCAATACCGGTCTGATGAAATAAGGCTATATTATGGCATCGGTGCATAACCATTTCGTATTTATCTATACAAATAAATAAAATTGACATGTCTGTTTGTAATGTCAAAATAAAAGCTTTTTACTAAATGCATATGAATTTATATACGGTACTTATAAGAAAAACACAATTATTTTTTTTTTTGTCTATCTGTCTGTTTGTTCCGGCTAATCTCTGAAACGGTTGGATTGATTTTGACGGAACTTTCACCGGCAGATAGTTGATGCTATAAGGAGTAACTTAGGCTACTATTATTTTATAAAAAATAGGGTTCGAAAAAAATTAAAACGTACCTAAGGACGCGGAGGGTAAGTCCATTCTTATTTTTTTAAAAAGATTCCGACGAGTTAAGAACCTCCTCCTTTTTGAAAGTCGGTTAAAATATAAAAAACGTTGTCGGCTTGCTGAGAAACAAAATCAATGTACGTAGTACATACGTATACGTATTATAATAGCTTGCATTTTAAAGACGTATATCAAATATTTTAATCCCGAAAATATAGGAAAGGAGTATTTTGATTTATATTGGGAATTTTTGGTTTATATTGGGAAGCTTATATGTTTAATTGATATGCTCTCTCCTTGTTAACCAGGCTTACATTTGATTACTTAATGGATACCCGAAAAAATGATGAGAGTATGGAACTTTTTAAAGAAAATCTTATCTAGTCGAGAGTCGATCATTAACGGCTATTTATTTTGAATCGATACAGGATATTAATTTTTTTTATGGTATGTGTTTATTAAATATGAGCACTTTTATGTTATCGCTTTTATGTTCTTTTAGAAGTTAATATACCTATAGGAAAACTTTACCATAATAATAATAATAATAATTAATAAGGACGCGATTAATATGCGCATACGTCCACGTTAATCGTTTGAGATGACATCAGAGTGCGTGCAGTTTAAGTTTTAAAGCTCTGCTATTCTACAATGACATGTTCGTTATAAAATCTTAAGAACCTGTCTGTACGCATACTTGTGCATTTTTTTGATAACGGTGGGAAATACATACAGGCATACCACCTACATACATACAGGTGATATGTGGCACTCAGCGGCAAAGGCAGTAAAAAAAGCTATTAGTTTATTAGCTTAGCTTTTACTATTAGCTTACTACGCACTAAAACCCAACGGTACCTGCCCCGTCAGACCACAACAACCATGAGGTTGCTCCCACGGTCCACTCTACTATCAGAGAGATATGTGGAATTGACTAGTCTCAGTGAGATTGACCGACGTGGCCGAAATCAGTCAGGAAAAATAAGAAATATATAAATATATAGCTACAATAATATTTGTTGGAAGGTTATTATTTTTTACCCGATTACGTGACGCGTAGGAGGGTAATATGTTTGTCAGTCTATGTATGTATGTATGTTCCTATGTGGCGTTCTACGACGAAACGCCTAGGCCGATTTTGATGATTTATACGTCGTTAGATGGGCAATGCTAGTTTTATTATATGTATAGATAATATTTACCTCACTCACCCTCGCTCCGCTCGGGTTCGGCCATAGATACATTTTAACGGTTAGTATAGATTTCTCAGAGATGGCATTCTTCCCGCAGTAAAAAGTATCCTGTATGTTGAACCAGATAACCAACTATCACCATACCATAATTGATCAAAATTCCTCCAGTGATTTTTCCGTCATGCAGTCACAGAAAGACAGACAGACAAAAATTCTAAAAACTATAATATACAGATTCGACTCAGTATTTTATTATATGTATAGATAGATTTTTTTCATCATTATTTGTATACCTACAATCTCGTTACATGTGAGGACGATTGGATCGTAAGTCACATGGCATACTAGTATTAAAAATTAATTATTAAGAAGTTCAAGATGTTTAATTTTTTAATGCCAGTAATAAGATATCAGTGTTTCCTATCATTAGTGAGAGGTTATCGTACAAGCTATGTAAACTGGATAAACTGACGGCACAAGATAATTTAATGTAATGCATTAGTTCTATTTATCATCCACTAGCATTTTAGCATTATATTTCTATAGTAGTATGTATTTAAATGATATCTTGATATGTAGATGAATAAATATTATCATGCAATTCGAGTTGTAATTAATATACAATATAGTTTTATTATATATATGTATGTACATCTAATATGTACCTATAATAGAAAATGAAATGAAAAGATGTTAGTTAGTACGCGCTTCACTAGAGGGAAAGTGGAAAAACTATAAACTAAAGTGAGACAGGAAAACGTCTGTCGGAGCTAAAAAGTAAATATAAGAGGACTATTTTTATATAAAATAAAATCAGCTCATATTCTCATAAAATTCGAGATACTTAAAAATAAGCGACCCATAAATAACTAGCTATTATACTTAAATATTAAGAGATTACAGCAATTTCTGTATTTTTAAATAAACTATTAATAACTTTAAATTAAGTGTAGTATAACTCCTTTAATTAATTTAGCATCGACTTTTTAGTTTAAAATATACTCTCATTTTATATTCTGATAATAACCGTTTTATATGAAAACATTAATTTATAATTTAAATATTTGTGTCTTTATATGAATGTACCTAAATGCAAAGGAAACAATATTATAACAAATAACGACGATGATGACGACGGATAACGTAGGCTGGCACCGACTTCCCGGGGGAGAAGCCAACTCCTACCGGGCGCGTCCCCAGGTGGCGGATAGGGGCATGCCACCCGCTTAGAGGGGCGGGTGGTACCGGAGAAATCCGGCGCGGACCAAATGGCTTGGATAGGGCCGCTCGTCTAGGCCTCGAGCCGAAGACGTTGCGGCCACCGGTGGTGGGACCGCTTGGTCCCACAACCGGATGATGGGTGCCGGTTGCGGGACTGTGGTCGCAGGCCCGCATTCGGCGGAGGGGTAGGCCGCGGCGGGAGAGGAGTGCCGGTATTTCGGTGCGCCGTTCTCCCTACCTTCCGCGGCCTAGACGGGGCCGCCACCGTTTGATGGCGGACGCGGTGGGGCTGCAGGGGAAGAGGAGTGTCGGTGTTTCGTTGCCGCTCTCCCTGTCCTCTGCAGCCGATTGGAGGTGGCCCACTTCGGTGGGCGGTGTTTTGGTTTTATGGGGCTGCTCCGGGTACCTCTCTGACGTAGCAGAGTTGACTGTGGAGCAGCCCCATTGGTTTGGTGGTCTGCCTAGTATTTAGGCAGACCTGCCGCCGGGGCGCCGTAGTAGTTATGCGCAAGCGATCCTGCGGCGTCCCACTAAGGCGGGGGGAAGGGACGTCGGGTTTTAGTGGGTAGTACCGGCTCTTCTAGCCGGTGAGCCCCACATCACCACCTGGGGGATCAGGTGGTATGCGTAAATGCATTTCCCGACGGAAAAAAAAAAAAAAAAAAAAAAAAAAAAAAAAAAAAAAAAAAAAAAAAAGGCTGGCACCGACTTCGAAAATATCTGATTAGGTATCTATCTATTCTAAATGAAAACCCCCATTTATTATTTTTTTACATTTTAGTACCTGGAAGTCGTTTTTTTTTTAAGTTTTTATTTTTCCATTTTTAGTGTAGACATAATAAGCGGGTAATTTGTAAGAAGAAAGTTTTTTAATAACATATTCGATTAAACAATTTTTTAACAAAATATATTTATTGTTGATTTTTTTAAAAACCACTCGACTGATTTCGATTAAATTTATATAGGACCGACCACCTGGAAAGTATATACCCTTTGAAAAAAAATATATTTACGAAATCGGTTTAGGCATCTTCGAGTAATCGGTGAAGATACACAAAAAAAAATTCCGACGAATTGATAACCTCCTACTTTTTGGAAGTCGGTTAAAAATAATAACTAAGCGAATTACGTATATGAAATATTTTTTAAAACCCAATGACTGTTACGTATTGTGTGCAGAATATAAATCCCAGAAGTTGTTGAAATTTTTGTCCGTTTATCTGTATATCTGGATGCATTTCACACAAAAAGTACTGAACGGATTTAAATGTGAGTTACTAATTTTGTGTAGTGATACGTTTAGGATAACTTTTACTACAGAAAAATCACCCATTCCCACGGGAAATCACAAAAACAGGTCGGCCGAGCCCCCTCCTTCGGGCTTCCCTTTACTACAAGGGGTGATTTGGTCATAGTCCGCCACACGTTAGTCAAGTGCGGATTGACGGACGTCACAAGTTTTTCGAAAACTCTTGCGATGCGGTGTACTGAATTGATTTACCGTTATACGAAAGGTATGAATAAATGAATCGTTTTTTAGCCGTGTCAGATTTTGCAGTACGACGTGAGTGAGTACAACCATAATATGTTTTCATAGGCTAGGTACTGGAAATCATTCGAAAGCAGTATCAGTCATCCGCAACGTGTGAACCCGCTGAAATTCTGCTGAAATTCCAGCTGAGCTATGACAAAATACGAACGAAGTAATACGAATTGTCGTCAATTTGACGCCGAAACTAAAGGAGAGCTAAATATAAATAACTGATAAATGAAATAAACTTTATTCAATTAGACTTATTATAAGTGGTTTTGAATCGTCAATTAATCTATACATACATATAATAAAATTGTAACTAAGCCGAATCTGTACATTAGATATTTTTTGGAAAATCTTATTGAAATAAACATTTGTATTGATACAGAGGCCGAATCTATAGTTTTTTAGAAATTTTGTCTGTCTGTCTGTTACCGCATCCCAGAAAAACCACTGGAGGGATTTTGATGAAATTTGGTATGGTAATAGCTGGTTATCCGGGTCAACATATAGGATACTTTTTACTGCGGGAAAATATCTCATTTCTGAGAAAAAATACAAAAACTGCAATGTAAGAGTATACTAATATCTAAAACCTAAGAATTTGGTTTTTGATCATCTGAACGCGGGCGGAGCTGCGGGCAATGCTAGTAATGATATAAATGTGAATAAGCTACTGCTCGCCACAATTGTATTACGATGGAGCCGATTATTCCGGTCTGATGGCATGGTTATTTATTTCAGATTTGATTTTTTCTAAAAGAATATTGAAGTTTTAAAATTTAAAATTGTCATAGGTATAATGCGAATAGACGTAATAAGCGTTCGTTTGAAAAAGCTAATTTAATTCTTCTATACTTCTTCTGAGGCTATTATTGACCGTTTAAAAAAAGATGACGAGGATAAGTTAGTATTTACTAACGCTCCTCCCCAACGTGCGTTCACCTTGTCGTGGTGGGGGGCTCAGTAGTGCCCGGCAACCCAACCGGGCGCGAAGCCAAGAAACGCACAGGGAGGTGGCCCACTTCGGTGGGCGGTGGGAGGTGGCCCTCTTCAGAGGGCGGTGTACCATGTGGGTCGCTCCTGGTGCTTCCCTGATAGCAGAGTGGACCTTGGAGCAACCCCATGGTTGTGGTGGTCTGCTTCGGCAGACCTGCCGTCGGGGCGTCGTAGTTGAATGCGTAAGCGATCCTGCGACGCCCCATTAAGACGGGGAAGGTTTTGTTGTGTTTTAGTGGGTAGTACTGGCTTTATTACGCCGGTGAGTCCCACACCTCGTGCGTAAATGCATTTCCCAACGTTAAAAAAAAAGTATTTACTAACGCTTATATATCAAAAACTCAAAGTAAAATCGAGTGACACATTATATCTAATGTATGAAAAACTGAAAATTAGAATATGTGAGATTTATAAAATCATAAGTCCTGAAATCTCATGTTTATTTGTTCTACGTAACTGGATGACAGGCAGGCAGGCCTGATGTGACAAAAGCAAGGGACGTGCGTTGATAAGGGTATTTTTGTGTCATATGAATGTGTTTGCTCTCAAAACAAATATCTGTAATCGAAATTGGCTATTTCAGATTTGATTTATGTTAGCGGATTTCGTGGCGTAGTATGACAAATGATTGGCATAGGAGGTCGGAGGTCTCGGGTTCCATCACTGTAAGGCACATAGTTTATTTCACTTTTTTTTTGTTAAACCTATTTTATCTTCATATACAGCTTTATTAACTAACATTGAAACTGTTGCTTATA